ACGGGGAACGTCTCTTTGCGGAAGACAATTCTATCGAAGTTCCTCATCGGCCCTCGTGTGCCGTCCTACCGGCCTTGGGTTTATAAATATTCAGCTTAGTGCGACTGTGTCTGTGTCTGTGCCATTCGTTGCTACAGCCGAAGATATGCACCCGGTTTTCCTCGTAAGTAGGCTTTCTGGTATGACTTATGTTGTTACGGGATATGAAGAATTTTCGTTTTGTCGTGTATTCCATGAAATAGATGAACGTCTGTAAAGGAGACCGTCTTTGAATTATCGCGTTGGTGGATGTAGGATTGGTGCACCACGTAACGATGAAAATTAAAAGGAATACGAATGACGATGTTGCAGTAAGTAATTGAATTCTGTGTATTTCATACTTGGGTTGCTACGTCGATTTAATTGAAATTCGTGGAATAACGCGTACTTGAGAGAATGACAGGGAAAAATTTCGACGGTATTTAAAACAGACGGTAACTGCATTATTTTTCTTTTTTTTTCTTCTCTTTTTATGTATTCCTCACATGGCTCATCAGTCGGAAAAAGCGAGTAATGAGAACATGGAACAGTGAATGGTTTGTATGACACTCAGCGTTGCGCGCGCGCACGCGACCGTGTATCACATGAATAATTGCATACGGATGCACAAATGCATACAGATGCTTATGCGCTGTAAATCTCGCGTGTTCCGCGGCTTAATTGTCACTCTTCGCTTCAACTAAGGTCATCCCACTCAGTTTCCACGCCACGAGACTTGAATCTGTCCATTAGACTTTTTTCTCGATTTTTTCTTTTTTTTTTTTTTTTTTTTAATAATAAAATAGGTCGTTAAAAAAATTGGAATAACGTTAGTATTTTTATCTGCGAAGATAATAATAATGATGGTATATATTTAGAGAAGATCTTATTTGTACTAGTAGATATATGGATTTGATAATATTACAAATATATATTAGTCGTTGAGTTTTAACTGATTACAGCTGTCTGTTATTGACGTGCTTTTAGAATTGAACTTCTGTGGAGGAACAACGAGGTCTTGTGACAATTTAAATGAAAAATCTTGATAAACGAATAAATGGATTTTCTATGATTTTTACTTCGATTTTTAATTAAAATGAGAAATGTGATTAATATATTAATATTTGTGTCAGTGGTAAATTTCCAAAAATTTCTGTTCTAGTTTTGATTATTGCAAGTTCTCGTACGCTGCGCTAATTGTATTCAAAGTAGTATAAACATATCAGTAATCGTGGTGGTGTAATCGGTAAGTTACTGGATTAGTACGCGGGAGATCCTAGGTTGGAGACCAATCATGTATAATATTTACAACCCCACGCGGATTCGATTTCGTTTTCACTATTATTTCGCGTAAAATATCATTTAGACTACTCTGGATTGTTCAGTTACGACAATAAATATAGTATTGTTCAAATAATAATTTGATAAAAAACAAAAAAAAATCACTAGACTTTTCACTCGGTGTTTGATGTATCGAGGAGATAATTAATTATAGCTAATGAAGTACCTACTTAATGAAATCTTTACTTATCCTTTAATTAACCACGTTGAATACAAAACCACCAGAAATTAGAACACATAACAACCACCAAGATTTCTTGGCTCCTAGCAAAAATATAGTTGATAACTGGCACGTGCGGTCATGGCTGATCCCTGAAAGGTTGGAAATGGTGAATTCTTTAAGGGGTCCAGAAATAAGACGGAACATATACACGATATGTGTTGTATATGTTGCGCCTGGGTAACACTATAGTTCGAACACGTGAAATACTAAATATATACGGGTCGTCCGTGCGGCAAGTTCGCGTCGAAATAGAGCAATTTTATCCGATTCAGTGAAAACTGATCCCGTGAGGCATTATAATTAGAGGCCGAGGAGTTATTGTTGGATTCCCCGAGATTATTGATGGATCGATTGCTGTTAACGTGGCATCGATGTAAAGTGTTGATATATGAGAAAAATTCATTTCGAAAAAGTGCATCGCACGACATAACCTCTTCATTATGTATCGTATAAAATTTGCCAGTGGAAGATGATGGTAGTAGTTTGTTATGCAGAGGTAATTTCATGCCTTAACCTCTATCGGGAGGTACCGTCCCGATAGGGGTAAGGCATGAAATTAAATGTAAAACGACGTTGCCTGAAAATAAGGGCAGTTTACCACCTTTACGCTTAGTATCGCAGTAGTTAGTCTTCCCATCAAATCAGCTTCTAATTAAGGAAGCCCTCCCTTGGTCAACAACTCCTCACGCATTGAACCTATATAACCCAAGGGAGAAAGAGAGCGAGATTACTCGATTTCTCTGTAGAGTTTGCATCATTAACACTTGGGTGTGAGTAAAGAGAGATTTTATCGTTTAGAAAATTGCCAGACATAATTGGAACGGCAAACGAAACGCTGTAGATCGACAATTTCGAAATTTTACATAGGTTAGGTTCATCGATGATTCCTATAAAATTGTTAAAACGACGCACGAACTTAAAAAATAATCGATAGTTCGATAGTTAAAAAAGTTCGATAACAAGAATTCCTCACCACGACGACGAGACCCCCTTCTCTCTCTCTCTCTTTCTCTCTCTCTCTCTCTCTCTCTCTCTCTCCTTTCGAAAGCGCGAACGAGTGTAAACAATAGAAGGAAATCCGCGTGAAAATACGAAAATAGTTGGAATTGGATGGTAAAAGAATTCCGTGTCTCCTCTTTAGTAACTCCCTCTTCTCCTCTTGCTTTGCCGCTCTGTTTGCCCCGTATCGACTGTGGCTCTTCAGCTCAATCAACAATATCGACACGTACTCTCGAAATATAGAGCACTGAGAAAACATCTCTTTCCTCCATGCGGCCAAGGAAATGGCCTCTGACCGCTTGAAACAATTCCTTTTAGTTAAACGAAGCTCTTTAAACACGAGAGGTTATTGGGGTAGAAAAAAGGAGAACGTCGATTACCAGAATACGGCAACTACGTAGTTCTATTACGAATGAAAAATCATAACAATTATTACTTTTCATTCCTCGAGTTTCGATATTACATTATTCGATAATTACACTCTCGTAACAAGTACGAAAACTTACGGTTATATGTACTTTTGTTCGCTGCGTACGAATTCAATTTTTTCGTGTCGCCATTTTGTCACGCGGTTAATCAGTCAAATATTTTCCGCGGACAACGTTGGAAATGCGATCATACCGCTGAGATCATTGTGAATTCTTGTTCTCTCACGATGATACCTGTCATACATCAGTCGTTAATAGGAATTTAAGGTTGCCGTAACTAGTTGTTTAGCAGGAGTCTGCTTGTAATAGGATGAAAATAGAGTTGTGAGTAAAAATTACGTAAACGCGATGAATGAATCAGGTTGAACTTTCCAAGTGAAAATGTGCGCAGGGAGCGTTCAGTTGATCGCGAGACTCGCTATGTGGTGTGTCGACTCCGATGCTGAATTCCGGCTCGTGCGTTCCACGATATCGTAAATTACATATTGCGAAACATTGTGAGTGTTTGTATCGGTGAAACACGTTGCAAGGATTCTTCGATTTACAGAAATTAATTACGATATATAAGAAAGTAAATCCACACTTATTTAAAGATTTAAATATTCAACGGTCGACGGTTCTTTTGGCAATAACGGATCTATAATGGAATTATTAAAGAATGTTTTTAAATTTTTCCAAGGTTGTATACAACTTGAAAAAAAAATGTTACAAATTTCACCAAACGTACCTAGTATTATAGATTACAATTTATGATATCGTTAGGTTTTCCTTCGCAACGTTGGTTTATCAAGTATCTAGCCGCAAGTGGAATCGGAGGAAAATAGTGAAACTTTGCGCAGTACGCGTGCGAGCACCTAGAGGGCAACACGAATCGATTAGTACTTTGCTAATGGCTTATTTCACTTAACACGCCTTTCCGTAGCGAGCAAGTTCGCTGCTTAGACTGGTGTGTCGCGAATCGGGTTTTGCATGTTCGAGATTGACAGAAAAGAATGAAGTTTCGTGGCTCGTACCAGTGAGGGAAGGTCGGTTTGCATGCCAATTCGCGATCCGTTCTCGGCATCAACACGTAAATTGTCACCAGAAGGTAAACGGGGAGTTGTCTCCCTCTGTGTTTCTCCCTGTGTCTCTGTCATCGCACTGTCTCTTTTCCGCGGTCGGTGTTATTTATAGATAGACTATATCGTCAATGTTCGTTCAATTGGTCGGACCCGTTACAGTTTCTTCATTGTGACATCATTTCCGAAGCGAGTGTCTATCATTTTTATTGCTGTCTGTCGTCTCTCAGTAATGACTCATTTGTTCAAGGTACATAACCTCAAAGCCATGTCGGCGTTCGATGACAGTCTAGACCGCTCATGGCAGGCTTTTTCTCCTCGTCGTTAGTACTTTACGATTATTCTATTACATCTGACATATTTTTTTGCAATTTCAACCATTGATACGGAGCAATCGATAATGATCGGCTCCACTGACTTGGATTTTCTGTTGTCTCCTAGAAAAGGTTGTTCTGAAGAAGATTGTTCTCTTAAAGTGCTATTAAAATTGTATGAAATCTCTATTTATAACTTCAGAATCTTTTTTTCTTTTTTGGTTACAGTAGCATAGTGGCTACTGTAACTCGAAATGGAATTCCCTATAAATTATTTTTCATGTAGTTGAGTTATTTATTCGTGGTGGATTGTTTAACATTGATGGTATAGCATTATATAAATATATATAATCATATAAATATTTATGTGGGCTTTTCACCTCTTTTTTAGAACTTTTGAAACATTTTACCAATATAATAATGACATAATGACACATCTGTTTAAATAACTATGACTCACATGCCACTATCATATGCTAATTACTTGTTCTTTGATCAATATTCATAGCAGAGTAATGAAACCCATGCATATCTTAATCCAGGAATGGCAATCTTAGATATAAGAAGGATCTGTACTAAAGTGGAATATTGAAACAATTCGTTTGTTTATTTGTTGTAGCTGTTGGCCCTCCAATTTCCTGGAGGCCAGTGGTGTCAGTGACACCAAAGAATAATACGAACTGCTAGCGTGAAGGAATACAGTAGAGTTGGCTTAGGCCAACGTCGGTGGACAAAACAAAATGGCAACAATAGATGGCCGACCAACCCAATATGGTGTCACCCTTAAGCAACTTCGTGAGCTCATGGAACTCCGAGGACGTGAAGGTGTCAATAAAATCAATAGTTATGGTGGTGTGCAGGAGATTTGTAAAAAATTATATACTTCACCCAGTGAAGGTAAGATTCTTTTATTGTAATTCTGACTTATTCAAAGAAGCATTTGATTGAAATATTTGTAAATAAAATTTTATTTGCTATGCAGGTCTTAGTGGATCAGCAGCAGATATCCAACATAGACGAGATACGTTTGGTTCCAATCTAATACCTCCAAAACCACCAAAAACGTTTCTACAATTAGTGTGGGAAGCTCTTCAAGATGTTACATTAATCATCTTGGAAGTAGCAGCTTTGATTTCGTTAGGTCTTAGCTTTTATCATCCAGCAGACGAAGAAGAAAAACGTAAATATGAATTTTATTATCATTACTATATCATTTCTTAGTTACTGGATAAAGAATAAAAGTGAATTAATGTTTTGTATTTTTATGATTGATGATTTTATGATTATGATGAAGGAAGATAAAAAGAAAATCATTTTTATACATTTTTCAGCTTTGGTAGATGAAGATGAAGCAAAATATGGTTGGATTGAAGGCGCTGCTATATTTATTTCTGTGATCTTGGTGGTAATAGTAACAGCTTCCAATGATTACTCTAAGGAAAAACAGTTTAGGGGCCTCCAAAGTCGGATAGAAGGGGAGCATAAATTCTCTGTCATTCGGCAAGGAGAGGTTAAACAGATCTCTGTGTCTGACATTGTTGTTGGTGATATATGTCAGGTATGTATAATAAATTTTTTAATTTTGTTAACAAAAAAATCATATTTTAAATGCAGACAAAACTATACCTGTGTTTAAAAGTTAAAGATTTGTGATTCTCTGGTTAACACAAGTAAGCCATATTTGAATCAGTAATAAGTTTAAATATAATATAGGAATATTTGTAATTAAATTGGCAACTTCTTGAACATGTTTTTGTTTGAGAATTTGTCAATAAATCATGCATCAATACTGAGTTTTGGGATACGAATATTACTTTTCCAAAAAATAAAGAAGGTCTTCCTTAAATTGAGTAATCTACAATTCAGATAAAATATGGAGACCTGCTGCCGGCAGATGGTATCCTTATACAAAGCAACGATCTCAAAGTGGATGAATCCAGTTTAACCGGAGAGTCAGACCATGTTAAAAAAGGAGAATCGTTCGATCCCTTGGTACTCTCAGGTGAGGGTTCTGTTTCGAAGATCGAACATAATTTGTTTATTTCATTGGGATTGCGATTATAACGATTTATGTCTGTTCTAAAGGTACACATGTGATGGAGGGTTCTGGGAAAATGTTAGTTACTGCGGTTGGCGTCAACTCACAGGCTGGTATTATCTTTACTTTGTTGGGTGCTGCTGTTGATCAGCAG